GAGGTGATTCCACTTTCCTTCGTGATGATTCTTAGGAGGTGCTTCGGCACTTTGGTGATGATTTTCAGCTATTTTCCATTAGCAGATACATTTGGAACAAGATACATGATGCTACTGAGGATCCGGTAAAGCATCTTCCCTATGCACCCTACATCATGCATGTGATTGAGCAAGCGTCCGGCATCCGGCTCCCCATAGACACTTAGCACAATCACCTCAAGATCTCCAACAAGACATCTATCACAGCTGCAAAAGAACTGAGGAAGAAAGGTGCTGCAGCCCAAGCCAAAGGCAAAGGTGCTTCGGGTTCTCGCTCTCGTCATGGTGCTTCACCACCTACTGCTACTGCTCGCTCTTCTAGTGCCGAGCCACTCTCTTCTTCCTCCTCTAGTAAGAAGCCCAACAAGTTCAAGTTCCTCATGACCTTCATGTTTGGACAATGTTGTGCTAGTGCTCAACGTGAGCATGATATGCAAGAGAGGCTCTATCATTTGGAACAGCAGGCAGGTATTGTGTCTTCTCCTCCGCCGTTGTTTGTGCCTCCCCGTGATCCTTTGGCACTCTATGATAAGGCTTGTGCGGCATATGAGGATGATGCGGCTTCTCGCCCTCATGGCAAGAGCAAGGCTACTGAACAAGATGAGGACTACATGGAGGATGATGATGATGAAGACGACGATGGTGGTGATGATGGTGACCATGATGATGATGATGACTACGATGATGAGTAGTCGGTTCTTCACGCGGCCTACCCCTTTTGGCACTTGTTGACAAAGGGGGAGTGTTAGGCTTTGATCTATCTTGTAATAAATTAGTTGGTCATTTAGTTTCAAGACTTTAAAACCTTTAGCTTGTATGAACTATGTCGTGTGGTGGCTAGTATGTGATGGACAACTATATATATGTGTTTGTGATGCTTGATTGTAGGACAAGTAATGGTTATTTATCTACCTTATCAGCTTTTGCTTGTCTCTACTTGTGATGGTGGATGTATTTTGGATGGCCATGTGTTGCTTCAAGTTTCTACTTTGAAATCTTGGCCATCATATTCTCTCTTACTTGTTGTGTGAAATAACATGTCATATTGCATCTCTTTTCACGGATATATATTTGTTCACACACACTTGTTGCACCCCACAGATTGCAAAATTTAGGGGGAGCTTTTGTCTTGATATATGCAAATCATGTATAGATTATTCTAATTGAAATTGAAATGCATGCATACATCAAGGGGGAGCTCTTCATAAATTTTGGGTTTTAAAAGCTTTAAATTCTTTCATTCTTATAAAAGCCTAAGTTGGTTGTCATCAATTACCAAAAAGGGAGAGATTGAAAGTGCATTTGCCCCCTATGTGGGTTTTGGTGTATTGATGACATCCAAATTAGGGACTAATATCATCTTAATGAGATATGTCACAGCTATTAGTCCCATGAAAGATTCAAAGAGTTGATAAAAATGAAATGGTATCCCTCAATTCTTGAAGTTGTAAAGGCGGACGAACTCAAAGCGCTCTCTAAAGGTTTTATTTTTGTTTTTGAGTTTAGGATCCACCGCACTATAAAGAGGGATGCAAACTCAGTTGGTCTGAGGAAGATAGGGTGCTGAAGCATAAAAATAAAATCTAAAGAGAGACACTCTAGCACTTCATGAGCATGTAGAATATTTTTCAGTGACTCTTGGTGTTCGAAGTCCCGACGTAAGCCAGAACTCCCGACCATCGGAAGTCATTACTCATGTTGGAAGTACTGACGCCCAGTTACTAAGTCCCAACGTGAGTTGGAACTTCCGATAGTTATAAGTCCCGACCCAAGTTGGAAGTCCCGACATCTGAGGTTCTGATGGTCGGCTGTCTGCGCCCGTCAAAAGTCCCGACGTACGTCAAAACTTCCGATAGCTGGAAGTCCTGACCCATGTTAGGAGTCCTGACACCTGGTGTTGCTAGTTGGCTGTCTGCGCATGTTGGAAGTCCCGACGTACGTCGGGAGTCCCCACCGTCAGAAGTCCCGACGTACGTCGGGAGTCCCGACCATCAGAAGTCCCAACGTTTGTCGAGAGTTCCGACATTGACTTACTCGTGCGGACTTATGACCCTGCGTGAACAGTGTTTTCTATTAAGGTTGGAAGTCTCAAGATCTGCTTTGGAACTTCCGACGTAGATCTGAACGGTTAGATTTCTACTATGAGTATAAATAGCCCTCTCTTCACTTCTAACCGTTATGGACTCATTCACAGCTCACCCAACTTCGTCCTAACAACTCCCAAGCAATAAAGGCACCCCTCTCCTCTCCCCTTTGCTCCAATCTTCGATTTCCCTAGGGTTTTGAGTGAAAGGAGAGTGGATTAAGTGAGAGAATCACTTTGGAAAGCTTGAGCACTTGATTTCTTCATCAAGCCGGTTGGTTTTGCGTCTATTACTCTTGGGGCTTTGCCCCTAGCCGGATAGGCATTGCCCAAGAGCTTCCATCTTGTGGAAGAGCCTTGGGAAGTTTGTATTACCCTTGATTTCTTAGTGGAAAGCTTAAGTGACCTTTGTGGTCGCTTTGAGAGAGGCAAGGAGATGAAAAAGACTCTGGCCTTTGTGGTCGCCTCAACAACGAGGACGTAGAAGCTCCTTTGTGGGGTTGCTGAACCTCGGGATAAATCCTTGTGTCCCATGTGCTTGTTGTTGTGATTGCTAGAGATTACTTGTATTTGTTTCTCTCTCTCTCAAACTTCATTTTAGGGTTTGGACTCGATCTACGGTTTGGAGGCATTACGGCGTCAAGGGAGTGACCCAACATCTTCACCAAACCACAAGGACGTGGGGTTGTAAGATTATTTATCTACAAAGTTAAATTTGACACTGCTTTTGTAGTTCGCGTAGGCGTCAGGACTTCTGATGTTTGTGCCGAAACTTCTGACGACGTTGGGAGTTCCGACCCAAACGCTAGGACTTTCGACATTGACCGACAAATTTGAACTTAGCATTTGCAGTTAATTTTTAGATACGCGTATTCACCCCCCCTTTAGGCATTGCTAGATCCTTTCACCCGGGGGTGGCGCGACGAGCTGCAGCAGGGAGGGTTTAGGATCACCGGTGGTCGGAGAAGACAAAGAAGAAGATCCGACCATGGAGCTCCTCACCGGAAAAGAGGAAGAAGGATTAGGGGAACGATCAAATGGGCATGGATTCGTGCAACCAAGTATACCACGACGTAGAAGACAGAGGGGGCTATCTCATGTGGTTGATACCGAATGCGATGGTTTGGCTAGAAAAGCTTGTTTTAGGAGTGGCGGCTCGGAAAAACGATTTTAGATCTGGAAGCAGCACGGCGAGCACAACACCGGCATATATATAGTGTTAGGGTTAGAGGTCAGAGAAAAACAAGATATTTTAATTATTTTGAGAATTAAATAATTCCACGAATAAAATAATTCCAGAAAAGTCTAGAATTGGTATTTATGTCACGAAAAATACTCCGAAAGCTCCAAAAATTTGGAAGAAATTCTCTGAGATATTTTGGAACATGAGGAACCCAAATAAAAGTATTTGGAGCTCATGATAAGATATCTTGGAGTATCTATAAATTAGATTATGCTTGCGTAAAAGTGAGAAAGAATTCCAGAAAAAGCCAGAAAAATTCCCGAGGAGTTTTGATACATCGGTTGATGGACGGTGAACTCAAAGGAATGATTTGGAGCACAAGAAGAGGCTCTTGGGATACTCTATACGAAAAGATTAAAATCGAGAAAGTATGGATTTAATTACAGAAAAAGACAGAGAAAAGCTGTAGAAAGATAAACAACTTACTAAACGCGTTTTGAAAAAATTCTACTCACTGATAACACCAAGACGAGCAACAAGCAAACATCATATCATCCAAACGCCCGTCAAAATTAGAAAATTCTAAAAATTCATATTTTTCCTATAACTAAATTTACGCTAGCTCAAATTAAACTTGATAAATTTTATCTAAATATTAAAACCTTTGATTTTATTTAGTGTTTTCTACGCACAACCCAAAATTGAAAATTTTGGGGTGTGACAGGATGCTAATGCGCTTTTATTTGAAGATTTCAATATGATAAATAAACTAGGCTTTTTTCGAAATAAAAAACTTACTTTGACACCTGTCCCTTTTCTTGGCTGCCATGCAGCTTACATTTTCTTCAAATTTTTATTTCCTATCTGCTCAATGTCGCTATCTATTTGTACGAGGCTGTTAGGGACGCCCTTATAATGCAAGTGAGGCCTTATTAGTTCCTTCCCTAAAGTTTAGTTCCTATCCCATCGGATATTTAACACATGTATAGAGTATTAAATATAGGCTAAAAAATAACTAATTGAACAGAGATTACGACTAATTTATGAGACGGATTTTTAAGCCTAATTAGGCTACGGTTTGACAACGCGGTGCTACAGTAAGCTACAGATACAGCACATACATATACAGCACACAACACATAGAGAAAATCAAAATCTGGAATGAAGAAATAAAAAATTGTACGTACACAGATGACAGCACATATAGAATATCAAAACTGGAATGATAAAAAAATACAGCACGTATCCAGCCAATAGAAACAACTCAGAAAGTAACACATATAGAATACTTCACGCACAAGAAAGAAGGGAAAACAGCGCGCGTGCACCTGGGATGGCGGCAGTGGCGCCGGCGTAGAAGACTGAGTAAAACGATGAAGACAAAAGGAAGAGCAATACCAAACATCAAAGCAAGTCCAACATCAGAAGAAGAAAATCAGCGAGATGCATCGGAGGTAACCCAGTTAACCCCCAAGGACCTTCGTCTCCGAGAAAAAAATTCTGCAGAAATTTGCATATTTCTTTTGCTACGACCCAATTTACATGCAATAGAATCTCTATCTACCCAAAAGCGGGCTAAAGGATAGGGCCACGTCGCCCGTTAGACCACCAATCGTCCGATCTGGCAAACAAACGATGTCGACCGTCTGATCTGGGTCTTCGCGGGTTCCTACCCGTTAAGCTACGCGGGCCGTCATGAACCCGTTAGCTGCTCATGCGCTGCTAGCAGCCGCCTTCCCCTGCCCGCTCGTAGTCACCACTACTCCGGATGTCGAACTTGGCACTAGCACAGCTCCCGAGCGGCGTCCCTGCTGGATCCAATGCCTTCAGGGCAGTGCTGAGATAGAAATCTACGCTTCGGTTCCCTGTCTTCGAGGCGTCCACTACCGCCCGTTCTCCAGCTTCCTCCAGCCTCCTCTCGCGGGCGTCGCGGCGCCGCCGTCCCTGCTCCCGCCCGAGGCTCGACGACGCCCGGGGCTCGCCACGCCACCAGGTCATTCTGCTCTGCCAGACTTCGCCGGAAATCCGAGGAGGGCTGCGGCACGGCGGACGCTACGGTGCGCGAGGCTGTGGTGCAGCGATCGCGCATGATCTGCGGGGCTTCGGATCTGGTTCACCATCGACATGGCGCCTGTGCAGCCAGCCGACCACGCGGAGGCGTGCGAACAATCCGAGTCGTAAGCGGGACGGCCCGGGCCACCAACGCTGCCGCAGGCGTGCGCCGGCATCGGCGACGGTGCGGGCTCCTACTGGATTTAGAATCTGCTTTGGCTCACTGTGCGCTGTAGATTTGGTGCAGAGGTGCAGCTCGATCCGGCTGCCTCACGTGGAGAAGAGGACCACACGGCGTGGAGCACTTTAGGAGCGAGCTGCTTTTGCTGCCACAGCCATGGCACCTCAACGCAGCTATCAATACCTACATGCTGATGCCCTGCAGGTGTTCGATGAAATGAACACAAGGTGTGCTTTTTTTCTTTCTTTCTTTTCTTCCTTTGATTATTTTGTTTCTGCTAGCTGGTAATCCCGGGAACGCAGGAAGCTAATATGTTGACATTCTGTTCTAGAAGAAGGTAGAGTTGCAGGTGTTTGCTTCAATAGAAATCCTATTCCATTTCGCTTGTTTGATTAACTGGAAATTATTGCAGAGCATATCCCTTTCCAGCACAGCCTCCATCTCCCCACACGGTCATGTCTTACCCGTCCATTGGCAACTGGGTGCTTACAAGATGCGGAGCAGTGAGGGAGGAGGACTCAATCCTGTAGCTGTAGGATGGGAGCTCAGGCACATATTGTACCGCTTATCCTCGCACCATTCGCCTCCCCCTGATCCACTTGTCCTGCCGCGTATGCGACGAGATGCTGGCGTCGATGCTCCTGCCTTCCACTCCCCTCCCCATCGCATGCCTCTAACTACTGTGGCCTTCTCCCCACACGCAGGCAGAACACGTATGCATACCAAGTACTCAATGGTTGATGCTTTGTTTGCCTCTGTGAGATAATTAATCAGTTCGAACAGGAACAAAGGCGACAGTGAAGGACTGCCTCTGCTCCATCACTCCTGCTTCCTGGGGTAACACTGCCTTCAGCAAGTGTCACGGTGAGCAGCGGCCGCGTGTTTCCTTCTCCCTGTCCCTGTTTACCTATGGATTTCTCTTAATGATTTTAGTGTACATATTCAGATTCTGTAGTTTTTAATCAGTTTGGTTCCCCTCAAAGTGTACATATTCAGATTCCGTAGTTTTAAATCAGTGTGGTTCCCTTCTCCTACTCCAAGCAATTTTGATTTAATCTAACATTTCTAAGTTTTGCCTTGCCTGCTTGCAGTTCTAACTAAAAGAAAAAAGAATCTGAATTTTAGCTATTATAGAAACAGAAAAAAAATGCCAAAATAGCACTCGGTGCAGCCACTGACAGCTAAGACTGAGACTTGTGATATTTAGAGGTGAAAAAAAATGATTTCTTGAATACATAGACTTTTGATACGAAGATAATGGAGATCACTAATCATATCCAAGCACATCTAACTTAAAAAATCAGTCACTGCAAGAGGTCATATTTTGACTATTTTGTTAATGAAGTTCTAAATATACACTATTACTTTTTTCAATCTGAAATTGCAATGATGATTTTAAATGATTTGTCAATCAACCGAGGGGATCATGCATCCAGGTGCTGGCAATCTATTAAATAGACAGTATTTGATGTTTTGAGAGCATTGCCACACATGGACATCCGGACCTTCCAATGCTCTGATGTCAGGATTTGCAAACAGCTGCTTAATGTGCAAGACATATTGCCTTGGCACTGTAGTGATACTCAGTATATTACTTATTAAATTAACTTGTATCCACGCTAACAAATCTGTTATAACTTATATTTTGCATCGAACATTATTAAATCAACTGAAGTCTTATGTAAAGTGAAAAGCTAAATCCTCTAGGTGAAGGAGTTCCTGAATAGTTATCAGATTAGGATATAGTATAATAATAGGTCTTCATATGCTTATAGCTTTGTGATAATATGACCTTTGTGCATGCCTAAAATTATATGAATGTGGTAATTTAGCCTGCAGAAGTCATGTTGAGAATGATAGCTACAGCTAAGGCATTGCTACCAATACACTGTGTACATTCCATCACATTTATCTTGGTACGATTAGACACTGTTTTCCTTGGTCTCAATTCATGGTTTCAAAGTTCCCTGTTCGCTTCGCTGAAAAGCCAGGCTGAAAAGTAGTGTTGGCTGATTTGTTGTGAGAGAAAAACACTGTACTATGGCTGATAAGATCAAGCGAAATTGGCCACTCATATTTAAAGCTTTGCTGACTTGATGTTCCTTGCAGCCCAGCCAAAGAGACATAAAAGCTGGATACGCTCGATTTGTCGGAGGAAAAACATGGGAAAGGGGTCAAATGCATCTCTGCTATGGCGATAGGGAGGCGTTGCCAAGTTAGTGTTGACAGATACTTATTACATACAAGGAAGATGACGTGGATTGAATCTGTAGTTGCAATGTACCTTACCTTCTAATCAAATAACAAACACTTAATTGAGTTCTTATTTAAACAGCATTCTCATGTTTATCAGCACAAATCAGAGGCTTGTCTTTGGCTGCTACTGCAGTCATATCTGTCTGAAAGTACATATGCTATTTTGTCTAATATTTCATTGAAGACTGCCATAACAACTGACCTTTTTTTATTTTCTACTACATACTTGATGTGGTTCTTATTACTTATTGTCGACACTGCTTTTGTACCCTTATGATCTTATCCGCTATATAAGCTATATTTATCTCTCCTCCATGCTATCAATTAACTTAAAAACAAATTTGATTCGTTCATAGTTATCCATCTGTAATCATGTTATTATGCTTTGTAAATTTGTCATTGTAGGGTGACATTGCTGTTGTTTCTAAAAGAAAGATCAAACAACGTATAGTCAAGGAGGCACTTAATAACCGGGCTTGGATAGCAGACATTCAAGGGGCTATTACTGTTGGACTGATAATTGATGTGTTCCAGTTGTGTGATACCCTTTCAGGCATTGTTTTGCAACCTGGAAAGGGGGACAAACATGTCTGGAAGCTTTCATCTAATGGCCAATATTCGGCTAAGGCGGCATATGAGGGTTTGTTCTTGGGAGCTACTCTCTTTGAACCATGGGAAAGAATTTGGAAGACTTGGACGCCACCAAAATGTCGGTTCTTCATGTGGATAGTGGCCCACAACAAGTGTTGGACATCTGACCGCCTTGCATGACGTGGAATGCCTCACCTAGATTATTGTCCGTTGTGTGATCAAGAAGAGGAATCAATCAACCATCTCCTTGTGGAATGTGTATTTGCCAGGGAATTTTGGTTCATTTTGCTTCGGCAGGTCGGTCTCCAGGCTGTCTCCCCAACCTAGTGATAATTCTTTCATGGACTGGTGGGAGAGAGCTAATAATGCTACTTCTGATATGGTGAGGCAAGAAGTTAATTCCCTAATTATTTTGGGGGCCTGGACTCTTTGGAAACATCATAATCGCTGTGTCTTTGATGGAGCAGCTCCAAGTGTGGTTGGGGCTGTTGTAATGGCCAGTGAAGAATGTCGGTTGTGGACCAGTGCAGGGGCTCGAGGGCTCTCCCTCTTGACCGCCCATCTCCCAGGTGATTAGTTCCTGGGATCTCTACGGGTCAACTTCAACCAGCTGAGCTGCGTTTGTGCCTTGGCTGGTGTAGCTTGTGTCGTGTGTGTTGTGTTTGGGGTGTTTGTAAGTCTGGGTTCTTGTACCCTCTTTTCTTCTTAATACAATGAGACGTAGATCTCCTGCGTTTTTTCGAAAAAAATAGAATGAGAGCACTGTAGCCAAACAAAACGAGAGAAGATATCAAACAACTTAGAGCTCTTTATTGAGCTTCAGTACTCTATTGTTTAACTCTAGGGCAGCAAAATGACATGAGTTATCAAGATGGCGCGGCTTTGCTGCGCCCAGCTAGGAGTGTGCCAGTGGATGAATCCAGCTTAGAGTGTGCCACTGGATGAATGAATCACGTTTTGTTGGGCCTGTTGCCTCTTGGTAGAAGTGCAGCATTTATGTCTTGTGAAGATAAAGGGAAATTATTCTCTGATTGAGGAACCAAAATTTTCTTTTGATCAAAAGTCTTTGTATCTTGTGAAGATTCAGGGACCTTAAAGTTTTTGTAAATTTTTACCCAATACATTTTCCCTGAAAAACAAATATTCCAGTCTATAATTTGACTAAACACAAAATGAAGGATATTTCAGACGCTTAACGTGGAAGTGCAACCAGTTATAATGTGTGTAAATCATAATGAATACACCAAATGCTTGCAAAAATGCGGTATTATGGATGTTGTCATTCGTTTGGTATACCAGGGGCAACACTGTATTGGATGAAGCTCGTAATTTTGGGGCTTAGAGCCAATGGAAAATATGGCAATGAAGGCCGTGTCACAATGATCATATTGACTCTTATGTTCAATGCTCTGAAATTACATAAGAAAAAAAAATAGCATATAAGGTGTGTCGGTATCAGCTACTTCTTCACCTCAATATTCGAGTCCAATTATTAGCCCTTTTTATGTATAGGTCCCGGGTAGATCTGGAACTTGCCTTTTGAATTAGAAAAGAAGCGGGGCTTCTGCAAAGTAAAGAGGTCATTGAGTTTAATATCCCGCAAGCCAAGCATAATTTTACTGCTAATGTTACCTTTGGTTTATCATTTGCCAGTCCAAGTTGCATATCAACCCACTGGAGGTTATTAAGATAGTGGCTCTGACTGAACCCTAAAAATTTTCTTTCAAGCAAAACATTTGTGTAATTAAGTAGTATTGGCAAGTAATTATGCAGACCACATGAGTTTTTTTTTCTCTGTTAAAATACATTCTGAATTCTTTTGCTTAAAGCAATCAGCTGTCTATTAAGCTTACGGGCACGTTTTGTACTTGCTACTATTGAATGTACTGCATAAAGTGAAATGGATTAATTTAGGTGGATTACAGATCTGGTGTACCAACTACCAAGTAGAAAAAATGAGCTTTGAAGGAATGAAAATAGTTTGAATATGTATCGATCTTGATGTGAAAAA